ACACACACACACACACACACACACAAAAAATAAAGCTCTTGTTTTTGCTACTCTTGAACAGGGAATTGTTTATATTCAAATGGGAAAGGCTTTAAACACACGTACTATCCTGAACACATTTACTTAGTTGTGGAATTTACTCCAAAATTCTGCACACATTTAATTGAATGGAATTTATTTCCCAGTAAGCATTCAATGTATTACCTAGGAATTATCATTGAAAGTGTGAAGAAATGTATGAATAGGACACAAGAGCTTAACTGATTGAGTTCATTTGAGCAAAATTCTGCCTGTCAGGTTAAAAGGAATCAACCATCTTCCTCCATTTCTCCCTCCTCCAGATGTGTTGGCTTAAAACTTCCTTGGGGATTATGGGGGGACATATCTGAAAGGCACTAAACTGTGGAAGGTTGGTGTCTTATTCATAAAGGCATGGGACTGCTGAGTCTGCCTGTGATCCTCCTGAAAGCACTCTTGCTCTTCTGAATAGTAGGGTCAGATTTGAATAGGGAGCTCCCCTTCTCCCACAATGTAGGTCGACATAATCACTACCTGTGTGTTGCTTCAGAGAACAAGGATTTCACACTGGAACTGATCACTCCAGACATTAAGTCTCACAAACTCTGGAGCTCAAGGTTCCTGAAAATGTCATCTCTCTTCAGTTCTGTTACCTGAAAAATACCAATTTTACATTAGTGTCTGTCTTCAGAAATAGTCCTTATACCCTCTATATGCTAATTCATATACTGTACTGTATAGTGAATGAGGACCTAACAGGTACAGTACATTTCTTCTTCGACAGAATTAAATGAAAAAGGCTGCTGAGAACAACTGTCTTCCTCTGACATTAGTTTGTACTTTCTCTGAGTAGCAGCCGAAATATTGGCATGTTTACTGGCTCCTTCCGGGTATCTTCCTCCCCACCCTGTTGTCCTGACATACCAACATATGCTAGGCACCATGATGTGATTAACACTGTGCAATCACTTATCCTGAGACAACCTGCTTTAGCAGTCTAATCAGAGCACCATCTTCAGTAATTGCTAATCTGCAGCTGTAAAGATTTATGAGCAAGTGGCAGCAATGCAGGCAGTGTTCAAAACTGTGTTGGACCCCATGTAGAAATAAAATGTTTCAAAACAGGAATAGCGCTCCTCAATAAATGAGCAGATAACATGTCTTTTCCTTGACATCTTAATGCGAAGAAAAGGAGTTGTTTAAACAGATGATTAGTATTAATAATAATCATATGCCATCAAGTCAATTCTGACTTTTGGCAATCCTTTTCAGGGATTTCCAGATACAAAATACAGTACTCAGAAGTGGTTTTCTATTCCCTTCTTCTGGAGGGTCAGAAGTGGTTTTCTATTCCCCTCTTCTGGAGGGGCCCTGGGACTGTGCAGCTTGCCCAAGGCCACATCGGTTGGCTGTACTTGCAGGAGGCACAATGGGGGAATCAAACTCCCAACCTCCAGCTCCACAGCTAAATACTAACCCACTGAGCTTTGTCCAGCCAGCTAAACAGATCATTAGAAGTCAGTAATTTCTTTTGCATTATAGGGGATGGATATGATATATTCTTGATAGTAATATATTTTTAAGAAAAACAATTTCTAAAAAAAACTGGTCATTTTTTACCCCTTCAATGGAAACAGTAGTCCTTATTTTTTTTATTGATATTTTGTTGTTCAAATCTGAGGACAAATTAATGAAGACAGCAAATATTTCTAGGAGCAGCTTTATTGGGTCTGTTCATTCTGTGTACAAATAGCTGTGAACATCTAGTATGCATTTACAAAGAGCTCTGGAGGCTTTAAAATGTTCTTTTCAGGCTGCCCAGTGTGGTGTAGTCAGTGGATAGAGTGATGGACTAGGATTTAGGAGGCCTGGGTTCTAATCCCCACCCAGATATGTAAAACAACTCCAATATCTCACTTACCTTGAAATCCTATTAGAGTCGCTATAAGTCTGTTCTGATTTGATGGCACAGAACACCAGCAAGTAAACAGAAAGGTATAGGGCCATTACTGATATGAAGAAAATGAAAAGTACAGCTCATGTTTTAGACAACAGAAATTGTCTAATATGTGTTTGCTTTTACTTGGAAAATGAAATATTTTCATAACTGCAAAATTCTAGGAACTGTAGGAAGAAAAATAATGAGCATATACAGATCATGTTTTTGAGCATCCAATGCAGTTTACATATATTGGCTGAAATCCTGTTGCTTAGTGTAGTAAGTCACAAGAGGAGTAGGCCCATTGCATCAATGGAACTTATGGAGGAGCTGACTCACCAAATCCCTGCTGATTCAGTGGGGCTGCGCTAGCTGTGATTTACTACACAGCTCAGTGGCTGAGATCTCTGGCTGTGGAGCCAGAGGTTGGGAGTTCCGTTCCCCATTGTGCCTCCTCGAGAGGGGCTAGACTCAATTATCCATAGGGTCCCTTCCAGCTCTGCAGTTCAAAGGTTATTATTGTTACATTAAGCAACAGGATTCCAGGCATTATCTCAGAGATGAGCAGGCTGCACTGATAAGAAAGCTGCATAGGTTGCAGGCTCTTGTTCCAGTACCGTATCTGATAATCTTGAATGAGGATCCAAGTATTTCCTGCTTTGCAAGGACCAATGGCCTCTTTAAGCTAGATAAGCCTGCTCATGCCTAGAGTGGAAAATACTTGAAAGCGTGATTCAGAGTGTATGATGGTAGGAAACCACTACCCAACCCTTAGCAAAATTCCTTGATGCCTCCACTTGGGGTCCTTCTCAGATCTTTGTGAGCAATTTGTTATTAAAGATGATGGAGATTTGCCACTGAAAAATCTACACATACCTATTCAGATAAATCTTCCATTGAGTTGGTGACGTTTGCTCCCAGGGAAGTGGACATACGATTGTAGTATGAGCCAGGTGTTTCATACATGCAAAGCACCACTGAGACGAATTCATGTTTAAGGCTGGAAATTTTTTTTTTTTTGTTATATAGGAGCAAAAATCTCCTTAAAGTACTTGGTTTCATACATATTGCCCTGTGGTTGGTCCTTTGTTTTTTTCCTGATACTTCCATCAATGATAGCTATCTCAACATATGGCTAAAATAAAACCTACTTTTTGTGTGTGTATAACCTAGAAATGTCCATCGAAGTTGCAGGCAAAGAAACAGCAGAAAGGAAAAACGTTTGATGCTCTCAAAGGCCGAAAGGTCATTGCAAGATCGGAAAGCACTGGATTTTACTACCCAGGTAAATACCTGCATGGTGGTTGTTTTGTAGTTCTGCATGGATTCTTTTTGTCTAAAGTTCTAGTAGAGAATGATAAATCGCTTAAGAAGCCCATTTTCAAAGATCTTATGTGTGCCTGTTTGATTAGGAGGAACCAAACAGAGGCCAGCCCCATCACGAAATATAAAATGTAACCACTGAAAATTCCAAAGATCTTATGTGTGCCTGTTTGATTAGGAGGAACCAAACAGAGGCCAGCCCCATCACGAAATATAAAATGTAACCAGATTTCTGAAAATTCACATACTGTACACATTTACATTGAGACTAGATGCGACACCCAGGCTCCCTTCCAAATATTAGAACTGTTGGTACATTTTCAAGTTTTTCTCTTCCGGTAACAGCTGAAGTCTTATAGGTTATGGTAGATTTACCTTGCTCTACCATCATCTTCCCCCACAAAGTGGAAAACAGTTCACTTTTAGATTAAGTCTTAATATGCTTCTTTCGTACTGCTGTCAGAAGAAGAATAAATAATCACGGGATTCTGTACAGTGTTCCTTTCCAAAATTTCTTGTTCCCCACCACTAATATAAAAATATGGGACAATCTTAATAACTATAGGTCCTTACTGAATTAATCGGAACATAGATTAATGGGGGTGTTCAGGAGAACACATTGATTGATTGATTGATTGATTGATTGATTGATTGATTGATTGATTGATTGATTGATTGATTGATTGATTGATTGATTGATAGCCCACCCTATACAGTGGTGCCTCGCTTAACGGGCGCCCCGTTTTACGAAGAAATTGCATAGCGATGAAGATTTTGCGATCGCAAAAGCAATAGTATTGCAATGTTTTAAACGGGGAAAAATCACATTGCGATGATTGGTACCCTGTTTCTCTTACCGATCATCGCAAAGCGATGATTTTTTAAAGCTGATTGGTGGTTCCAAAATGGCCGCCGGGTAAAAAAAAATGATCGCCCGCTGTTTTCTGGGACGGACTCCTCACTTACCAAGCAGCGAAAATGGCCGCTGTATGGAGGATTTTCATTTAAAGGTGAGTCTGAAGCCCATAGGAATGCATTGAAGGGGTTTCAATGCATTCCTATGGGCTTTTTAATATCGCATAGTGATGAAATAGCTTTGCAGCGATTTTTGCTGCACCAATTATCATCGCTATGTGAGGCACCACTGTATTGCAGGACCTCAGGATGGGTTACAAAGCTGTATAAAATAATTTAAAAACCTAACATATTTAAAACCATTTAAAATGAAACAACACAATATCAAAATATTCAAACATTAAAACAATTGCACTAAAAACTGCATAGGCCACAGTCCTTAACCCCAAAGGTGCTGATAAATAAGTATCTCTTCATTTGGTGCTGAAATGATTCCAGTATTGGTGCCAATTGAGTCTTCAAGTGGAGGGGGCTACATCAGGAAGAAAACCCTCCCCTGTGTGTCCACATAAAGTGTTCTCAATGGTGAGGCACAGACGAGGGCCTCCCCAGCACATCTTCGCAATCAGGTCTCAAGCTGTTCAGTCACCACTGGCTGCAGCCCTAGTTCCTGTGCACATGGTGAGCATGAGGAACGGTTTTTGGTGCATTCCAGTGTGTGCAGCAATGAGCTGTTCCCACTTTGCTGTCTGCAGTGGTGTTTCCTATATGCACATCGGTATGTGTGCATATAGAGGGACGTGGTGGCGCTGCGGGCTAAACCGCAGAAGCCTGTGCTGCAGGGTCAGAAGACCAAGCAGTCGTAAGATCGAATCCACGTGATGGAGTGAGTGCCCGTCGCTTGTCCCAGCTCCCGCCAACCTAACGGTTCGAAAGCATGCACATGCAAGTAGATAAATAGGGACCACCTGGGTGGGAAGGTAACAGCATTCCGTGTCTAAGTCGCACTGGCCATGTGACCACGGAAGATTGTCTTCGGACAAAATGCTGGCTCTATTTCTTGGAAACGGGGATGAGCACCCCCCCTAGGGTCGAACACGACTGGACAAAAATTGTCAAGGGGAACCTTTACCTTTACCTATGTGTGCAGGGCCCATTTTCATACTGGCCATACATGTAGCTTTCCACCGCTCCCTCAGAAATTGGCATGTGAAAGGACCTTATACAAATGCTCTTCAAGTTTTTGGTCAATGGCAAGGCCCAAAATAATGAATGTATGACAGTCTTCTTTCACTGAGTCAGACCATTTGTCCATGTAGCCCAGTCTTTTTATTCTGGGAAGGTAACAGCATTCCGTGTCTAAGTCGCACTGGCCATGTGACCACGGAAGATTGTCTTCGGACAAAATGCTGGCTCTATTTCTTGGAAACGGGGATGAGCACCCCCCCTAGGGTCGAACACGACTGGACAAAAATTGTCAAGGGGAACCTTTACCTTTACCTATGTGTGCAGGGCCCATTTTCATACTGGCCATACATGTAGCTTTCCACCGCTCCCTCAGAAATTGGCATGTGAAAGGACCTTATACAAATGCTCTTCAAGTTGTGGTCAATGGTAAGGCCCAAAATAATGAATGCATGACTCTTTCACTGAGTCAGACCATTTGCCCATGTACCCCAGTATAGTCCACTTTTGAGGGACAGCAGTTTTCTGGCACATTTGTCTGAAGTATAGGCCTTTTTCAGTTCCAATTTGTAAAGTAGAGACGTTGATAACTTTATTCACAGCATGTGCTTTCCCATTGAATCTCCTTACCAACTGCATGTTAAAGGACATAGGGATTCCCCCCTCCCCCCCCGTGAACTGTATAATAATCTGGATCATGGAATTTCTCTCTCCACCTAATGTCTTTGTTTTAGGAACAGTAATAAGAAGCATCACTCCTTTTTATGCCCTTGTGGATTTTGTAAATGGACACTCGGAAATTGTACCCTTGAAGTTCCTTATGCCTGTGGGGGGTGCAATGCCTTGTCCGTCTTTGCAGGTAATTAATTCACTGTTTCTTAAGATCGTTTCCATTCTCTTTGACATCTTGTCAGGTATCTGTAAGGTGTTTCTTAATGGGACATATTCCTTATTTTGGCACGTCTGATGTGTTTGGTGCATTTGGATGCAAAAAGGACCACAGCTGGCTAACATTGAGGTCCTGTGTTGGTGCAGATATTTCCTGTTGAGTATCTAACAGTGAAAGTGAAAGCACGCTTTGCTTTATGTGTGACATCCTGCAGGATCCAGCTGTAAGATTCTGCCATGGTGGATGTATATCACTGTGTATAGCCATGATTTTTTTTTCAGGATTTTTTTTTCCTGTGAAGTAAAGAGGGGCTGAGGTCCTTGCATTCTTGAGGTCCCCACTGTTTGTCCCAGAAGGAAGCACTACTGTATTGTTGTTCCAGTATGTATTCAGAGAGACTGCACTTGCAAAGTAGTGTGAGATGGGGATGTTGTATATACTCAGAGGTACCTTTCATTTATGACATAATGGCTGAAATCCTGTTATTAATATAGTCACACTAGAGTAGGCCTGATGAATCAGTGAGGATTTGGTGAGACAAATCTATTGTAATGGCTGAAATCCTGTTATTAATATAGTAAGTCACACTAGGCCCGCTGAATCAGTGAGGATTTGGTAAGACAAATCTATTTTAAGTTCCCATTAATTCAAATGAGCCTATTGTGGTTGCAACTTACTACATTAAAGTAGATCTGCTAAGTGACAGGATTCCAGCCTATTTTGAGCACCCATATCTTTACAAACGGCCTGTTTAATGAAGGGGAAGACATGTTGTTAAGGTCCAAACTAATTGCTACATGAAGTTATATTTGAGTGCAATTTACAAATTTGTTTTATTTTAGCTGAAATAGCAACCATGAAAAAGTGGTTGATCAGGGTTTGGTCCATAGTGCCCAATGAGAAAAGATTTAGAACTACAGGCACTACCCACAACCTCCCTACCTCCCAAAGTGAGCCTGTGTGGATGTTAATGCCAGCGTTCTTCCCAGGGCCAGTAGTAGCAGGGATGGAGGTAGAGAACTTCACATTGAACATGGTGGAGAGAGAGGGAGAGGGAGAGGGACAGAGAATGAGGCATAACCTCTCTTTGTTGCATGATGTAGTTCCAGAGCTGATCCCCTCTCCTCACATTCCTGCAGCCGATACTGCAACAAACAAGGACAGGAACTGTGTTTTTGCATTTTGAATTTCATCTAGTTTGGCCCTAAATGGCAATTTTGAAAATATAGACAGCCTGTTGCTTCTAAATACAAGGATACTTGATTTTAAACAAATTTTGGGATTGGCAGTCACCTGGTTCAGTCCATAAACCACCCACGATTAAGGGAAGCAGGGAGCAGGCTGAAAGGGTTCAGTCCATAAACCACCCACGATTAAGCAGGGAGCAGGCTGAAACACCAAGCATCTTTGCAAATGATTTCATTTTCCATCATCCACCATTGGCCTCACTGCATTGTTTTTGGGAAACGTTTTTGCATTTATGGCAGTGAAAATGCATTTATGAGAAAGCGAATTTTTCCCTATGGGAACAACGTTGTGCGATCGCATTAGCGATCCGAAAAAACGGATCGCTATGCGATTTAATCGTTATACGGTGCGCTCGTTAAGCGAGGCACCACTGTAGTTCCAGAGCTGATCCCCTCTCCTCACATTCCTGCAGCCGATACTGCAACAAACAAGGACAGGAACTGTGTTTTTGCATTTTGAATTCCTGCAGCCGCTACTGCAACAAACAAGGACAGGAAGTGTGTGTTTGCATTTTGAATTTCATCTAGTTTGGCCCTAAATGGCAATTTCTGAAAATATAGACAGCCTGTTACTACTCGGTTTTAAACAAATTTTGGGCTTGGCAGTCACCTGGTTCAGTCCATAAACCACCCACGATTAAGCAGGGAGCAGGCTGAAACACCAAGCATCTTTGCAAATGATTTCATTTTCCATCATCCACCATTGGCCTCACTGCATTGTTTTTGGGAAACGTTTTTGCATTTATGGCAGTGAAAATGCATTTATGAGATCAAATGGTAAAATTTACATTGTCCTCTCTATTTCTTTTAAGATGGCAAGACCTTGTGAAAGTTGAATTTGAAATGGATGCTCTCAACCAAACTTCTTTTTCTGCTTCTGCAGGTTGGAGACTATGTATTTGTCAGAATAAGGAAACAGTTTGGGGAAGAATTTTATGTGCCTGGTATTGTCGTAGCAACACCACATAAAACTGATTTAGATGATAAACTCTACACCATTTTGAAATACAACAACAAAAAGGTAGGCGGGCATTCAGTAGATTAGCCTGTAAAACAGCCACACATTTTTTCACACTTCACACCAGTAACTTTTTGGGGGAGAGAAAGAGAACAGCTAGAAAGGGACATTTTGTCCCTATTCTGGTCTATGTAACAGGGAAAAAAACCTAACAGTCTAAAAACATATATGATTAGTCATATGAAGTAATTGCTGTCATTTATGGGCCCTGCAAAAGTTTTGTCACTACTGAGGACTAGACACTGCCACTAATGCTTCTCAGCATCTGGAAAATAGCATGAGATATTTTTACTCCCAGTACCTTAAAAGATGGCTGACCTCCAAAGAATTGATGCTTTTGAATTGCATTGCTAGAGAAGACTCTTGAGAGTCTCCTGGATTGCAAGGAGAACAAACCTATCCATTCTGAAGGAAATCAACCTTGAGTGCTCACTGGAAGGACAGATCCTGAAGCTGAGGCTCCAATACTTTGGCCATCTCATGAGAAGAGAAGACTCCCTGGAAAACACCCTGATGTTGGGAAAGTGTGAAGGCAAGAGGAGAACGGGACAACAGAGGACGAGATGGTTGGACAGTGTCACCGAAGCGACCAACATGAATTTGACCAAACGCCGAGAGGCAGTAGAAGACAGGAGGGCCTGGCATGGTCTGGTCCATGGGGTCATGAAGAGTCGGGCACAACTTAACAACTAAACAACAACAACAGCCTTAAATCGGCTGTTTCTTTTAAAAGGACCCAAATGACAAAAATCAGTAAGATTTTTGGGATAATTCTAGTCCTAGCCAGGTTGTTATCTGTTAAAAAGAAATCACTCATGTTGTACATGGACAGTGGCTGAAACACAGGGACATCTCAGACATTCCAGTGACAATGTAATAGAATGCCTTACAAAGTAAATTTAATTCTGTCTAGATCTGGCAATACAGTATGACTTGTAGAAGGCTAAAATGTCCTGTCCTGGTTGATGAGAGTTAAACTTTACCCTTCACAAACTATCAATCTACATTCCTTTGAGCTGTTTCTTCAAAATATTCTGCTATATACTGTATTCTGCTTTTCTCCATTGTGCCTAATTTTTTACAGCACTACAATTCATTTGAACAGTTGGTTTTATTATTTCGAAGTTCAAGGTTTCAGGGGTCATTTTGTTATTGCAGGAACACTGTGTACGAAATGGGCTTATTAAAATCAGTCATAGAAGGTATACGTGTTCTTGTTGCTACATAAACATGACGCGGATGATGGAATACCTCATGTGAGTACAACATAATCCTTTTATTTTATAAATATATAAATAGCCACCAAGCTACTATTTGCACTGGAAGGGAAGCACTCATTGTTATTTCTACTGCAAACAGCAGGCAAGGGAATATTTTCATTGGGACCAAGATGGGGGGGGGGAGAGGGTTAAATTTTTTTCCCTTATTCCTTGTGGCCCCACTGCTTTCTGAGCACAACCTGCAGTGAAATGCGGTCCACTACAATTTACACAGAAAAGTAAAAGTTGTCTTTGTGTTCCCATAAAATTATGAGTTACAGTAGGTGTCAAACTCTTTGCAGTTAACACCTGCCACAAAACACAGAAATTGACCACAGTGTAAAGGGCAGGATCCAGCAGTGTGTGTGCAGAAGAGATCCTGGCAGAGGATCTGCCAGGATCTCTTCTGGTCTGTGAATAATTGTGCAAGAACAACCATAGCGTAACATCTTGTGCCAGCAAGTCTTTTTATATGTTGACAAATCTAATCCATCACATCTACCTACTCTGAATTAAACTCCTGCTTTTAATCCTAGACCAAATGTAAAGGTTCTGAAGCACTTCCACAAAGCACTCCCTGCCAATGAGAAAGAGAGAAAAACTATTGCTGTGGGAGGGGACTGGAAGAAAAGGAACAGAAAAAGAAGCTTGAGGAGCAAGAAAGAGCTTCCTTACAAAGCATGGGAGTCATCTGATTCTGAGGAGGTGCTGTTTGTCCCTAGAAGGACAATGAAACAGAGAGAAAATAGTTCATCGCCACCCCCTCGTTCTAAAGAAGGCACCGAAGGTACCATCAGTAAGCTTGAGAAAGAGTGTGGTGAGGTGGTAAAATCAGATACATCTGGTACACAGCACTCAAATTAGATCTATTGATGCCCCATTCTGTATTTACTGCAGCTCTGACTGGATAATGTATTTAGGATTCTGTCAGTCCGCTTGGTGAACTGTTTTGCAGCCCAGAAAATCTGATTATCCAGATCTTTTAAAAAAATATATGCAATCTGGCCATACAGTTGTTTTTTTAAACATTTGGGGTCATATTCCCCTTCTCTCTTGTTCGTTTTGATGAATCCAAGCAGTTTCTTAAGGCCGCAATTATTATCCCCAATAATTTCTGATGACCTGTGATCTATTTCCCAGTTTCTTCTTCTTTTTCCTCCTTCTAAATTTGAAAGTAACCATGAGAATGTCTCTGATTTGGTGGACAAAGCAGAACTGGAGGAAAGGAGTATTTTACTCCTATTTTATGCTGTTTGCTTGATCTAAATCCTCTCCCACTGAAAATACTGTGAGCCACACAATGTTTGATATATCCTGGCTACCCCTGCCAGTCATCACTTGACAGGACACTCATATGTTGTCTCCTCTATGCTGCCAGTGAAATGCATTTATTTTTGCAAAATTTGGGTGGAGAACGGGGTCCTATATTTGTTCAGTCAATGGCCCTTCTCTTGCTTCGTTGTATTTTATTTTATATCCATAGTGTTAGAACCTGATTGGAACTGTGATTATGTGGTCTACTGTGTTTTATGTAAACCGTTAGCTGTATATATGTAGTAGCTGTCCAGGGTCTTTGTGAGAAAGAACAGATATAAATGCACAACTACAGTACATACAGTGTGAACATAGAATGTGTAGCTGTTTTCCTCTTGTGTGGGAATAGCCCTCAGAAGTTTGTATGAATCTGTTGATGAGAAAGATGAATCAGAGTTTTGGTGCTAAATGCTTTTTTGTTTTGTTTTGTTTAATTTTTGTTTTTGTTTCTGCAAATCTTTTGCTGATAATCAGGTGACATAATTGCCAGAATGAACCGGCTTACCCTCCAGAGCATTCCTACTCACACCTTTCTAGCTCCCTGTCAGGGGCTTCTGTTTTCTAGATGTGGGTAGGATTGCTCTGTTTTGGTTTAGTTCTAGTATATATGATTGCTGGGATCAAACAAAAGTGGCTGGCTGGCTGTTCCTCTAGAGAAGCCACTTAACTGGAAACTTCTGAGCTCTCCTTTGGAGGGGAAAAGTGATGTTCTGGATTTCTTTTTAATTGTTGCTAAGGTAGCAGTGGTTTTTTAAAAAATACTAATGAAGAATCAGTGATCTAATCACTATATTAGTTAACAACCATTAAAAGTAAATGGTAAGCTTGTTTTCTTTTCTTTTGGTCTCCATTCCCTTCCAAAGGCAAGGAGGATTTAAAGAGAAAGCTTCCCATTTCTTAATTGAATGGGAAGCTTTCCCTTTGAATCTTCACCTTTCCTTTAAAAGTGAAAGAATATCTTGATTGTGGTAAATAGGTTCCTGATCTGAAACCACTTGATCCTCGTACAAGGCTCCTTTGTTTGACCTTAACCAACCTGAAGTGACCTATTTAGCTTGCTTCTGCCTGCTCCAGTTTGACCATCTAGCCAAGCCAAGCCATTTCTGGCAATTTTTGTCTCCACTAGGAGGAGGTCCTTTGTGAAGCAAACAGTCTTTCCCAAATTCCTCATCATGGTTTGTGATAAGAACCTTTTTACTCATCAAAGAGTTATGTTGATACCTTGAAAATACTTCATTGGACAGGCAGGTGCATAAAAGCAGCAGAAATCAGAGCTTGGGAAAGGCACTCTTGTATTTTTAGACTAAAATTTGTGGAATCCTCTAGCTGACATGGCCACTGGCTGACTGAGTATCTGACAATGCACTGATGCCTGTTACTGTAATTTGCTTGTAATCATCCATACTGTGGTGTGATAAAGTGACTATGTGTAACTCAAACGACATGTACTTGATGGTTGGTCTCCCAAATTCACCCAGTGTGCCTTTATATGGAATAAACTTTGTATAAATAATTTTGAAAGTACCACTTCTAAATATTTTGTGGATGTACTGATCAGTCTAGATACTCCAAAATACAGTAGACTCTTGTTTAAAGCAGGCATCTTGATTACATATATACAGCTGAATGATTTCTCATCTTTCTAAAAGTAATGTTTAGCAAATTTTAGTTGGAATTGTTTTCCTTGCATTGTTCCATCTCCCTTCTTTTTGCTGTTTCTAGGATTCCCCTGTTCCTCTACCATGCTTACAGTTGTTGGTATAACTTTTGCCTAGTAGCATATGTATACATTGTGAAGCATAATTTCAATAAAAAGATGAGTAAGCATTACATTAAATATCCATTGGCATGATTACTTTTCAGCAAATTTTGTGTGCAAGTGTGTGTGGCTCTTCTTAATAGAATTCCAAATGCCTTGACTTCCCTTTCCTCTGATGTTCAGCTATTAACTTCTCCTTGAAGTATTAAATTGTAATTTTTTTTTAGCATTTTTATTATTGAAAGCCAGTGAAACTTCCAGTCACTGACACTAAAAGGAGAAAAAGATGCATGTTCTGGAAATATAAGATAGGGGGAAATATTCTACAGCTAACATCTGAGACTGTTGTTTAAAGTCAGGTTTAGCAAAGTCATGTTAGCCTGTGAACCCCCCACCCCCACATCCCCGAAAAGAAAGGCTAGAGCCTTCCTGTAGACACATGGACACATATGGGAAACACTTCAATTGCTGTTTCTGTTAATTTGGTAGAGAACCATTGTTTGCAAAGAAAAAGAGCTGTTGAATAAACCCATCCCAGTTCTTAGGGGCCAGTCTCATTTCTTGCCAGAGATTCTGTGTAGCTGTTGGATGAGTTGATAACACACTGATCACATTGATAATCAGGCATTCCTATCTGCGGGTCATGGCTTGTTAAAGGGGCAGATGCTTCAGGTTCATTTAGGCATGCCATTTGTAGCAGCTGCAATGCAGTTGAATCCCTGATGTTTTATTTAGAGCATAAAACAGGATCTGGCTTGTCCAGATACATATGCCTCCCCTCCTTGGCAGCCTGTCTCTGCATTCTCAGAAATTTTGAAAAACAATATTATGATTTTTTTTTAAGTGGATGCAAGTCTGTAACGAGAGGATTGCATGGATAATTGCAAGTAATGCTATTTTGGGTTGGCACAGTTTCTATCTGTGCCTGTAGTGTATAGAATCACAGTAATTCTCAGAAAGATGGTATGTACTCATGTCGTTGTCTTGTAACATAAGTCATTGAGGAAAGGCACACAGATTTCTGTTTGTAGAATCATACATTTTATGCTATTCTTTAGCACTATCTTAATATTATGACTTTTCTCTTTTGCATGGTATACTTTATAACTATAAAGTAATAATAGTTATTATTTATGTGCCATTGATTATAAAGTAGCCTCTATTAAAACTAATGATATTTTATACATGGAGGTTTTCAGAGATTTTTAACTATGTTGTCATGCTGTTTCTTGTGCTCTCCTTGTGCATTTACACATAAATGTGCTCTCCTTATAAAAATAGAAACAGTGCAATTACAGTTTGAAGAATTTTAAAAAAGCACTACTCATATATAAGACTAGCTTTTAATAGAGGCTATTTTGTAGCGGTGAATTTGCATAAAGCTCTTCAGAATTCATTGTGAAGCTAATTTTTTTGGCAACGGAGTTCAATTTTTGCATCAGTTCATGGTAGATTTTAATAGCGGGGCAGTTCTACCAATTGAAGAGATGTCTCTTTCACATCTGGGCTCACAGACCCCCTGTGCAATCTTGTGTGTGTTTGTGTGTGTACTGAGACGCAAGACCCACTGAGTTCAGTGCGGCTTACTCCCAGTTGAATGTATAAAGAGTTGCAACTTCTATGTGACTTAAAAATACATGTATTTATTTTTTATTGCTGCTAATGTACTCTGCTGCTTTTGTATGCCTAATAGTATATGATCTGCCTCATTTCATCTCGTGAAAACCTTCATCTTGTCTCCTAACCTCTTGCTTGCTAGTGCCTGCTTACTGTGGTCCTCCGTGCCGAAGTTCTTCTAGAGGTAGAAAGCAGCGGCTTTCTTCACATGGTTCTGAGCACAGGCTACCTAAGAATCGGCGTGGCTCTCGCTGCCTTTCTGCACGCCAAAACAGTGTCTCTCAACCGGTTAGCCACACTTTCAGCAGCAGTAGCAGCAGCAGCAGCCACAGCAACAGCTCCCTTTCAAGCATTGAGAAGGTGGAAGAGCTGGCCAAACGGCTCCAGCGGTACCACATAGCGCAAAGGAAAGCTCGCCCTTCCAGCTGCAAATAAAGAACACTGCAAGTTGTACATAAGGAGTGGAGAGTGGTCACCCCTTACAAAACTGTATTATATCAATGCTAAATAAACAATTTAATTTGATACTAAATTTTTAATGTTAAAATTGTACAGCATTACAAGATCTTTGTAAGAGGATCATTTAAAATCCGGCTGTGTTGTAAAAACGTGCCTTGTATACAAGACGCCCTTGTTAGCACATGCCTAAAAGCTACATGGATTGTCTCAATCTATCTGTCATCAGGCTAGATTATGAGAATATTATGGTCCTATTCAGGCTTTTAAAAACACATGTTGTCCACACTCAAGGAGCGTATTCTAACCCTGCCCTTCCATCATGATGTTGCTCATACAAAAGCAACTCTCTGAAGAAGACAGTCTGCCGTAGTTTCTGACATGTCAGCTGAAATGTGAGAAGCGCTGGGCTAGCATATGTGAAGGAGTGCTCATATTTCTTAAATGCCTGAATAGGGCTTATTGTTCCCTTTGTTTCCAGTGTTCAGGCATGATGGCCTTAATTTATGTAGCCAGATCAGAACAGTATTAGCTATGCATAGCAGAGAGTGATGAGCAGGATTGAGGAAACCCAAGTTTTGCAGATGTACACAGTATCCTTTTTATTTTATTTTTTAAAAGTGCCTGGGGAGAGGACTCAAAACAGTTTGATGTGGGGATAACTGAATGGAGCATTGAGAAGCAGGCATGCGCTGTGAACAGTTTTTACAAGTTCCATTTATTATTTGGTTTTCCACATGCTCCTCCTTAAATAGCCAAGATGGCACCACCTATGTCCAAGATGGAAGTGCATGGGAGAACCCAAGGTACAGTATATGAAAAAGCAGGCGTGAGTCAAGTAACATATTGTACAAGAAAGCATGGGGAGCCACTGGATAGGAGCACTCCACATTGCAAAGTATTGTCACAGACTCTGATTTGGGCCCGCCATTGTGTCATACATGTACATCTCTTAAGTCTCCTGAACAGTTTGTCTTTTCTACTCACAGCAATGGAAGTAAAATAAAAAGACAAAGGAAGCACAGCCTTCTAGCAAATATGTGGAGTAGAGAAAAGTTCCTTTTAAATAAGGGGCTTGGGGAGTTGTGGTCCAAAAAAGGGGAATGTTTCTCAGTTCTTCAAACAAAGATGAAGAAAGGCACATAAACACACAAGCTGCTCTGCATTAGCAGCATATGTCATTTGTAAAAGCATAGGAGCCCTGTCATGGCTGGGGGTGGGAGATGGAGGACGCAAGGTTCAAGAGGAAAAGAAAGTGGCCCACTCTCAGCTGAGAGGAAGAAAAGGAAGCTGGGGCTTGCATTCACCCAGACATTTCATGGCCACCTTTCAGCACATATTCTTGCTATTTCGTGTCTATTCCAGCTATTGCCATGTGTTGTTGCTGTATTGGCAATAGAGCAATGGGAGTTCACACAAGTGGTCATGTGCCTTTCCAAGGAGATGTTTAATGGTAAGGCAAATTCTTTGGTGACGAGTAGAATCCTTATTGCTTTCCTGAATGTTCTTCTTGATGTCCTTCTACTCTTTGCTATTTCCTTCATCCCATGCATCGTAGAATCCTTATTGCTTTCCTGAATGTTCCTCTTGATGTCCTCCTGCTCCTTGCTATTTCCTTCATCCCATGCATCTACTGTATCCACCCTGCCGCACAGCGTGCTGTTTCTCTCTCATCAGCAAACAAATCTTAGGAACCAAACAAGGCATAGAAACACAAGCTCAGCATTTAATACAGAAGGTTTGTCATCTGAGCTCAAAACAGTAATCCTTAAGTCAGACACTCCTCTCCAACCTCCAGTTTTGGTCAATAGTCATTACGGAATGTTTCAAGGGCAATATATGATTTTTTTAAAAAGCAAGTTCATTCAGTATTAAGGGTAATATAGATGATTCTCAGTGACAGTAACTTTTGGTTTTTCCATTTAGACATTCCTACTTCTCTAGGTATTAATGTGTGACGTCCATCCAAGATTACTCAGCATAGATTCTCTATTTGCTCAAGTGTACACCTGTGATATTCAGTGTGTTTAGCAGTATTTTTTTAATGCACTGACTTGGTCTCACTGGGCAATCTGGCCCTGGGACCTATGCACATCTCCACAACTCTTTTAATGGCTGGACCTTTTTGGGATTCCCAGTTAGTGTGATCAGAGAATAATAAAATGGTAGATTCCCCTTGTTACATAACAGCACTGATGTTACCTGTCTGTCATGGGTTTGGAGGGAAAGTTCCATCCTATGGGGAGTGGAAGGCGGGACATCAGGAGGAGGGGCTGTACTGTATAAATATGTGATGCCTTTGTGGTGAAGGGAGATGCTGAGACAAACTGTGAGACACTGGGTTGGGACGAAGCAGCAGCTGGGAAGAAGAAGCTGTTGTGGGAGTCTGTGTGTCTGACAGGGTACTACTGTGGGTCAGAGTACCACCCTGATAGGTTCAGGGGTCTGTTGGTTAGCCAGAACTGATGGGTTCAGGGTCTGTGCTTTAAGTTAAAGGTTCTAGGTGAACCAAACTGTATGCTTGTGTGTGTGAGAATAAGCCACGTTACTTTATTTTATTCACCTGATTGTTTTATTTACCCTGTTTGTATTTAAAATAAACCTTATTCTTTTATTGTTCAAAAATCCATCCCTGGTCTGTGTGACTTATTATAGGGAATGGTTGGTGGCAGCTTAGTAACTGTGTGATAGATCCCAGTAGGTCTGGGTTTGTCACATTGATTGGTGTCCAGCGTGTGGGATACGACTGGTCCAGTTGTCCAGCGGTCCAGCAAAGCCTTGGCAAGTGTGCCCAGAGCAAGGGGGGTCTAGTCAGGGACAATCTGAGGCGCGTAGGTAATCTTCTAGGTGTACCTCACGGGGAGGTGCACTAGTAGAAGAACGTGCCAACTGGGGAGACTTAGATTAAGGTGCTCTGAGGCAGCCTAGTTTTGGCGGGAAAAAGCTGAGGAAAAACTGCGTAGCAACAGCGAGCTAGCTTGCCAGCTGAGAGGCCCAGCAGAGGGGGGTAGGCTCTGACTCGATACTGTTGCAAATTTAGTGCTGAAGAACAGCAGCAATCTCTAGGGAGACCTGGTTCTGAGGCAAGAGGAAAAAAGTGGTCGTTTTATTTTGAGGCTTGACTTTTTAAAGCAGCCTGTTCTGAGGGGGGATTATGCCCTTGACTCGAAGCCAGATAGCAGACATGAGTGAAGTGAAAGACCCCCAGATTGACCAAGGTTCTGAGGATGAATTTGGCTCAGTGCAAGGTGACAGCACAGGAGAGCAAGACCCAGAACTCAGAAAAATACTCATAGCCCAACAGCATGAACTGAGGGTGAGGGAAATGGAGGAAAGATTAGAGAGAGAAAGAAGAGAGGAAAGGGAGAAACAAAGGCAATTTGAATTAGAG